CCCCAAAACCCCAAAACCCCAAAACCCCATCATCTAAAAATTTGATTGAGCATAATAAAATCATAATTTCGGAATAAATTAGAGTAGTTGATTCATTAATGGTATTAGGAATAGATCGGAGAACTTTTGATATTTGGGTGGTGGCAACAACTGTCAAAATACTACTCTTCGACACCTAGTAATAATACTATTCAAATATTAATCTCATCTCTAAGCAAGTCAACAGATTTTGAGGTGCACAGAAATTGGATGGCCATAACATACTCCTTGCCCTTAAAGGATTGGTACTTTGAAAAGACATCTGAGTGGACTCTTGATTATCCACCCTTTTTCGCTTACTTTGAGTGGTTCTTAGCTCAGTTTGCTGTTTTATTCGATAAGGAGATGCTAGTGATCAAGAATCTTTATTACGATAGTATTCAAACTATATATTATCAAAGAGCGACTGTGATAGCTAGTGACCTAGTGTTTCTTTATGCGTGTCAGAGGTATAAAATTAATCTGATTTCCATTATATCAGTCTTTTCATAGGTATTTGAAAAGTCTAAATCCCTAGGGTAAAACTGATTATCTAAGATTTAGCTTTATTTACCTGAATGCAGGCCTGCTTATACTAGATAACATGCATTTCTAGTACAACTCAATGATGTATGGCATAATGATTCTCTCGATTTCATTTCTATAAGAGGTAAATTTATAATAGTGATCATATCAAAATTAGAAAAAATACTTTATGAGTGCTCTGTTTTATGCTATTTTATTGAACTTCAAGCACATATATCTCTACAGCGCTCCATGCTTCGGTATATTTTATCTTAGGAAATTGGTATTCACAAGAAAGTTTCATGCAATGAGAGCGGCCTTAAATTTCATTAGATTAGCAATTTAAACAGTAGTAGTTTTTGCAATCAGCTTTGGGCCATTTATATATTCTGGATAATTTATGTAAATTTTGTCAAGACTGTTTCCATTCTAAAGAGGACTTGTCCATTACTACTGGGCATCAAATATCTGGGCTGTTTATATGGCTATTAACAAGTATCTTGTTAATATTATAAAGATGATAACATCAGGTTAAAAAGTATAAATCGAGTATGTAGTTGATGATATAGACTTGTTTAAAAAGATAAGTTTAGGTCTAACTCTCATATTCCTTATTGTAAGTCTAAATATCATAACCTTGATTAGCCAGTGATTATTTCGATGTTCATGAAAATAAATAGGAAAAACTTCGCCTTCTACTTGGCTGTTACAAACTTCATAGTGTATAACTTTGGATTTCATGTTCATGAAAAAGCAATGCTAATGACAATCATCCCATTAATGTATGTATAATGTCTTTATTAAGTTAAATATAGGCTTGACACCTATTATGGATCAAGTTATTAAGATAGATAGCGACTTTTTATCCTAAAAACTATAGCTTTTTGGACATTTTTGCCTTTGATAGTGCCAGCTAAAGAATTATTTGTGAAGCATTGGATATTTCTAGCAGATACAGTGTTCACTTACATTCTTTTCTTAAGATTGGGAGATGATTTTAAAACCAAAAATTAGGGATCTAAAATGACTAAAATGCTGTTGCATCTGACTGTCGTTGGGATAATTCTTATTTAAGCTCTTGAATTTTACATTTAACTGAGATTAGATGGACACGAAGGATGGATGAGTAGATATACTGATTTATTACCAGCTTTTGCATCATCTATAAATCAAGTGTTCTTCATTTAGATGGTATATGAAGCAATAACATTAAAAGTTCAATAATAAAAAGAAAAGAGAAAGCACAAGAAGATTGAATGATTTATTAGGCTTTTGTGATTTTAATCAAATTAATAAATTATTTCTAAAGTTATCATAAGTAATTATATATAAATTTAAAATTCGAATAATCTAGAAAATTATCAAAATGGTAAAATATTTGCAAACTCATACTTCCTCTAGGAAAAATCAGGAACATAATTAGGTGAACCCACAGTCACTCAAGTCATTAGGTATGATAAAATGATTAGTATTATAATGAGTTAGTGGCGGAAGGAGAAAGCTTCATTATTTGTATCCAGATTAGACAGAACTTGTTGAGGAACTTGATGTCAATACAAATGAAGTTCTTGGTATATTGTCGATTAGATTAATATTCATTAGTGAGGAAGTGGAAAAGACCTAGAGAAATTGGAGAAGGTTCATGGGAGTTTGAGATTGGTGAGCCCATAAAGCAATTCAACCCTGAATCTGATCTATTAGCTCCATCAGGTGAGAATGTAAGTTATATCTATCATTTAGTATTGTTTGTTAGCCTATCTTCTTGAGGAAAGACACTAATGACAGATTTGAGTGGAGAATCAGAAATCTAAAGTATCCCAAAGAAGTCTACAATCTATCAGTTGACCACAACACCTAAGACATCGTGCTAAGAACAACCAATAAGAAGTACTTCAAGAGATTCGATATTCCCGACTTGAAAAGGCTAGGAATAAAATTAGATGAGAGTAATATTGCTTGGAAATATCAAAACAACACATTAATTATTGGCTATGATAAGCCAGAGAAGATCAAAGAATTAGATAGGAAAAAGCAACAAGAAATATAACAGTTAAGTAAAAAGCAAGCATAGACTGGAGTTCCGATGGTATAGTCAAGTTAATAGAATGCCTTAGGCGATGGAAACGTTGACTGCAAGTAATAGTGATGTTAAATAAGAATGCACGCATATAATGAGTACGAAGCATTAATTAGATTAACAATTAAATGAATTAAATTTTGCGCATTTTCATGTGCTTATTTGGAAGGACGGGGTTTTGGGGTTTTGGGGTTTTGGGGTTTTGGGG